CACCCCCCCCCCCCCCCCCCCAAACATCAAAATGGGCGAGACAGAAGCGGAAGGTGGTTCTTAAAGAGACAGAGGCCAATTTCAAGGCATTTAGAAGAGGAAGTGATGAGAAGATAAGTTTATTTTCTATTTAAATATAAAAACAGCATTTTAATAACAGCTAAAGGTGGCATAGATACTTTATTATGGTATAGTATTTAAATATATGCCTGACAAACACATAATATTGGCCCTTTAAAAGGTCCAAATAAATGTAAGGACCATAAAGAAGAGAGAGTTCATGTAGAGTTCCCAGCCAAGGAGAACAGAAAACTATCTCAGCTCTAAATATGTAAGACTTTCAGCTTCTGGCCCATAAAACCCCTAGAAAACTAAAGACTTAATTTTTCTAATAACTCTGTTAAACATGATAACAATGATATAAACAAACCTAATAACTGTGATAGTTTTATTTATTTAGGGTTAGCAATTTGTTTGCATTTAAATTGATGTCTGGAAATCATCTTGGGACCCTCACATGATGTTTCATGACCCAAAGAGGGGCCCTGACCCCAACTTTGAGAACCACTGGTCTGATCTGTCCTTGAATGAGGCTTAGAAACACCTCCACTTTTTTGGAAATGTATATTTCTCTGGCTGCATGCTTGAACAGTGACTGCACTTTATATTGTTCTCATAACCATAATAATGTAACACATTACGTGCTGTTAGATTCATTTGTTTGTTTCTTTTTTATTTAATTATTTATTTATTGTCTGACACTTCTGGATTTGGAACAATGCATCTTTAGCTCAAGGAGATCTGTTTATTTTTCTGCAAGTACGCACAAAAGCCTTAAACATCTAATTTATTTATTGACTTTAACTATTTTATGCAGCTAAGCCAAATAAATATTTGCACTAAAGGTTGGTTCCAAAACCAAACCTTAGATAAAACTGCAGTGAGCTTTAACAGTAATAACTCTAGTGTGGTGATTATGTAATCTGTGAGTTTTCATGGAAAAATTTAATTTTGACTAGAGAGTCTTCAGCTGGACTCCGTGTGATTTCAAGCTGTTTTGCATCAAGTCGTGCTTGTGGAGGTTGATCACCTGGACCTGCTGGTTTAAAACCCACCAGCTGGTGATCGCGTGGTTTCAACGCCACGCCTCCGCTGTTTGTAAACACGCACCACTCACAACACCAGGAACACGCAGCTGTCAACAATAAACCCACCAGAACTCCACTGGTTTGTCTGGTTTTACTCTGGAGCTCTAAAAACACAGCCTACCAGCCGGTTCTGGTCTGATTGTGCTGGTTCGTCGGGACGGGGAGGCTCAGCCGCGGCTAAGCTAGCTGCACATCCGCCCATTTTAGCCGAAACAAAAGCAGCAAATGTGACGGTTCGTTCAGAGCTACTGACTCCTACAACTAACGGTGTGCACGGCTGCATGCTAGCTGGGCTAACCCATTGTTATCTTGGTGACGGCAGCAAAAAGCTCGAGAGGTTAGCATATACTGGTGTTTTGAGCAATGAATGACAGAAAAAGCTAACGGGCTCGCCGAGGCAGCCGATCACAGGCTGGAGCTGTCATCTGACTCAACTCTCCCAGCAAACGTTTAGCTACAGGCTGAAAACATGTAACATCACAAATAAATGCACCTAATCCAAATTATGCAATGCTACAGGGATGAAAGCCTGATTTGGCAGCTAGCTAACTCTATTTGTCAGATAACCGCTGGCTCCGGGAGGCTAACGATGTGTGCCATCAAATCCTACGTTTGTGTCTCAGAGAGAGCATTTAAAATAGTTAAATATCTTTAACTGGTTTAAATTTATTCCAGACATTACCTGTCGTGATGTAGGTTGATTGCAGCTTCCATCAGGCTGACAGGTAAGATCCTATTTTATTTTTCTACCGCGCTGTCACTGTACGCGACCAGTCTACAAGTTCGAAATGAAATGGCGACCTCGCGCTTCCGCTTCACTGTTTAAATACGTGTCACGTGACATTGTTGCGTCTGTCCGGTGACGTTGCTACGAACGCTATGTCCTGATTGGCCAAAATCTGATGTCTGTCAAACAAAGACCACTCGCAGTGGTTCCCAAAGTTGGGGTTGGGAGCCAAAGTGGGGTCCTGAAACATCAAGGTGGGGTCCTGAAAAGATTTTCCCATGTTAATTACATTTTTGCCTTAGTTGCCTAAAATGTATAAATGTAGAATAATAAATATTGTTACTATGCCCATGTTTAGTTGACCTGATACAAACGTTTATCATCCAAAAATAGTTACAGGTCTCTGCTACTGTTATTTTGTGGGTCAAAAGCTGAAAGGTTTGGGAACCACTGCACTTTGGTTCCCAAAGTTGGGCTTGGGACCCAATTATGGGTCATGAAGCACCTTGGATAATCTCCAGAAATCAATTTAAAGGG